GCTTCAGCCCAGAACCTCTTTGGTAAGGAAGCTTCTGCTAGCATGGTTCTCACTGCTTCCTTCAGAGTTCTGTTCCTTCTTTCAGCTACACCATTCTGTTGAGGTGTTCTTGCTGCAGATGTCTGATGAAGAATTCCGTTTTCTTCGCAGTAGTGAATGATGATTTCATTCAGGAATTCTGTGCCTTTGTCAGATCTGAACTTCTGAATGGTCTGACTTGCTTGATTTTGAATTAGCTTCATGCAGTTGGTGAGTTTCCCTTGAGTCTCCTTTTTGCCGTTGAGGAAGATTGTCCACGTGTATCTTGAGTAATCATCAACTACCACAAGGACATATTTCTTTCCACTTAGACTTATTGGTGTAACAGGGCCAAATAAGTCCATGTGAATAAGACTTAATATCCTTGTAGTTGAGGGTGCCGATTTTGCCTTGAAGGTGGACTTGACTTGCTTTCCTTTTTGGTGCTTAATTTTGGAGAAGGTGATGGGGTCAAGTTTCTTGAAGATGGCTGCTTTGGCGACGTTATCCAGATTGTGCTTTTTGCAATCTCTATCATCCCATTTTTCCTTGGGCTTTGGAATGTACTGGACTACGTCTGGAGTTGCTGGATTCCTCTCACGATTCTCCATTTGGATTTTCAAGGGTCCATCCTCAAGCACCATCCACATGCAATCATGTAGAGCGTAAAGCTGTGCTTCCATCATGATCTTCCAATCATCATAACCTAGAAGAGAAAACTTGGGCAAACCGTGATCCATATTGTTCACCATTTTGATCGCTTCTCGTTAATCTAAATGTAGATAGTGAGAAGACGGCTCCGATACCAATTGGTGGTCCCAAAGTGGTGAAATACAAAGTCTAGAGGGGGGGTGAATAGACTTTGTTACAAGTTTAAAATCTTTTTCGTTTCTTTTGAAAACGAGAAAATGAGTGTTAATCTAGAGTCCTTGTGAACTTTAGATTGTGTGCGGAATTTGGTGGGTGGAGTGAGCAGTAATTAATATGGATAGGTTAGTTTTCACAGTTAATATAATTGCAAGTAAGAATAAAGATAAGAGAGAGAGACACGCAAACTTTAACGAGGTTCGAAGGTGGGGTAATCCTTCTACGTCCTCAAAATCCACTATGTAGTTGGTTGTTGAATAATGAACCAACAGTTACACTTGTGTGAATTTCTGCACGGTATATCTTCACAAGACCAATGTTGCTACTGCACTCGTGCTGGCTTTGTTGTTCCTTCGAAGGTCAAGCTTCTTCAACAACTGCAAGATCCGAACAATAGGACTTGCAAGATCAACTTGTAAGAGAGTTGACCTACCCCCTTTTAATCAATAAGTTTGATCAAAAGTAATATCCTTCAACGTGGTGTGGTGCTTGAGGCAAGGAAACCTTCAAGTGTTTACACTATAGCTTTTTGGAAGGAGGAGAAGTTTGCTTCTGGATAAGGAGTTTAGAAATCTCTCTTTATCAAGCTTTTTGGGCTAACTGTGAATGAGATAGCTTTAGTGATTGCTTCGTTGTGTTGTTGTATCAACGTATCTCATCATATT